TGTAAGGAAGAACACAGTGACTGCAGGATCCTCTGGGAAGGCAGGAGAACAGGCTGGGTGATGGCTTTAGCAATATCTGTAATATTTTATTCTTAGAAAAAAAAAGCTGATGCAAACAATGACAAAATATTGAATACTGACATTTAAAAAAACTGGGTGGTAGGTATATGAATTTATATTCTGTGAATGTAAAATATTTTATAACTTAAAAATGATTATAATTAATACTAAATTACTTTCAAAAAAGAATGTGTGATGAAAGAGCTGAGGCTTTGGGATTTAAGTTATGACTAAACAATAACTTTTAAGTTCCCAAAGACTGAAAACCAGGAGTTCTAACTACTATATATAGGCCAAACCCAAAGGAAATGTGCTTAAAATTTTGAGGGGAAAACCTAAAAACAAAGAATTTCCTGACCATTTCATTTTCCCGAAATAAACTAGTACTGGAAGTTGATTCCACTGACCTCGGAGTTCCTGCTATCAAAGGGAATCCCCTAGTTCTGTACATCAATCACCAGGCTGCAAGGTATTATATAATAAGTAAGAAGAGTAAAACAGAATGGTAAAAAGCATGGGCACAGGGGCCGGCCCGGTGGCACACTGCTACAGTGCGCCGCTTGGGAGTGCGGCGGCGCTCCCGCCGAGGGTTCGGATCCCACATACAGACCGGTTCCCGCTCACTGGCTGAGTGAGGTGCGGGCACAGCACCGAGGGGTGCGATCCATTGCCGGTCACGAAAAAATACAAAAAGGAAAAAAAAAAAAAAAAAAGCATGGGCACAGGACGGTTCTAATTCTAAAACAGCGTCAGACCAAATACCAGTGTTCAGTACATTTTACCTAGTGATGTAATGATTACTAATAAGCATTGAGAGAACAGCAGAGGTAAGATATGCTACAGAAATTTGAGGAAGGAACAGATTGCTTCCATTTGGGAGAAGTGGACGAAGCTCTCGAGGAAAAGGAGGGACTTGAAAGATGTGTGGAATGGGAGCAGGCAGAGAAAGAGGCACCAAATCAAACCCTGTGGTTCTGCCTCCACAATCTCTCTCCTTTCTGCTTTCCCTGCATCTCTAGTCATAAAGCTGGCATACAGTCATTCCCTTGAACTCTTGTCTCTTCACATGCATTCTCTTCACTTCACTCCAATCCATCTACAAACAACTGACAGGGTAACCACCTAGAGATTTAAACGTGATGCTAAAGGTTCAGGCACACCGAGGCTGGAATCATGGGCCTATAATGAGTAATGAGGAAATATCAGCTTATAACAACACTCAAAAAGTGTCTGGTCCTGTGCAACACATTTTAATTTCCATGTAATTGCACTTAATAAAACCACAACCCCCAAATAGACACTATTCCCAGGAAATTGGGTAACACAGAAACTGAAGCATATGTTAAGTAACTTGTCCAAAAGTCCACAACTAGTAAACACAAAGTCAGAATTCAAGTTAAGTAGTCTGGTTTCTGACTGCTTAAATGCTCTTCATTAGAGTTGCACAGTCAACTCAGTATGCCACTCTTTAAATGGGTCATAAAAACCCAAGTATAGATAAGATAAACTAGAATTAACCTGGTAAGTATGGCATGTAAAGGTGAAATAAGGGATGTTTAGTTAAGAAAAGAGAAGAATTTTTTAAAAACACGAGAACACTAAAATATTAATTAATAGATTCATTTAGCATACGTTTATTAAGCATCCAGCATTGGCCGGCCATCATGCTAAGTATGGCTGTAACAAGAGGAGTAGAACAGGGAGCTGGCTCTCTGGTGGGTTACTCCAAGCCCCTTGCCTTACAGGCTACATAACGAAGTGAGCAAAGATTCAAACTGGGGATTCCCAAAGCATATCCTGGATCCATGGATGACAGTTACATGAAAGGAGGTTTCAACCTAACTACTTATAAGCAAGGTCTTCAATCAATAGACCTCTCAAACAATAGAACATGCTTCTCTATGATTCTCATCCTGAAGCTATGCAGAGATGGACTGGTCATTATTGATGATGTTCCAGGAACTCAACTATGGTACATAGGGTGAACCAGGTAGCCATTAACGTACTGTGACTGAGGTAGGTTAGCTCTTCACCAGATCTGTTTTACTTCATTCCTTGCAACAGCTGAAATATGTTTCCCAGCCTACTTTGCAGTTAGATGTGGCCATAGAACTAAGTTCTAACCAGGGGAATACAAGTATAAGTGATGTGTATGCTTCCAGGCCTGTTTCATAAAAACTCATTCATGCCGTCCCTTGTGCTCTTTTCCCCTGATTCAGCAGAGCCTGGTAACCTTGGGAATCATGTTTTCCAAAATGTGCAACTACAAGACGGTAGGATCCTGCATCCCTGAAGCACCCCAGGGCAGGCTGCCTCCCCACGAAAACCAGAAGCAAGAAATAAATATTCACTCTGTCAATACTTGTGCAACTACAAGACGGTAGGATCCTGCATCCCTGAAGCACCCCAGGGCAGGCTGCCTCCCAACGAAAACCAGAAGCAAGAAATAAATATTCACTCTGTCAATACTATAAGATTTGGGAGGCTTTTTGTAGAGCAGCAAGATTATCTTAACTAAAACAGATGCTTTTCAATATGATTTTTTTTTCTACTACAGTTTAAATTATTTGAAACCAAAGAATGGCTCTTGCTCAACTTTGTAATCATTAGATACAAACTAAACACATTAAACTCAGGTATTAAGTATATGCATATCAAATGGAGGGGAATACCAGGAGCAGGAACCAACATTCTGAAGCAGGAACATACAAGGCATGGATTTAAATGACTGATAATCTAATTTAGAGAGATGCATAGGATTTATGTTTGGTGGTAGCACTGGCAAGTCAGATACAAAAAAGAAATTATATGTACATGCACACACATAAATATACATATATATGTCAGAACAACTTGAAATATATTTTCAAAATTCTGCATAGTGCTTAGTAGAAATTGTGAAAGCACAGATGGGATGATATTTGTCAAAAGATGCCTGTGGATATTATGAAAGTCTTGGGGCTCATTGAACCAATGTGGAAAATTTGAGTTACTCTTTCCAGCTCCCTTGCTGGATGGTTTTAGTCCATGAGGGAAACTGCTTCCTCCTGAGTTACTGAGAATAGATATCATGATTTTTATTTTCATTTCCACTGCTCTCCTTACGCCTCCCTGATCTGGCTGAGACCTGATACACCGAAATCAAATATTGGTAGAAAGCGTGCTCTCGGAGTTTTTCCAAACGGCACCAGAAAAGGAAGTGCCAGGAATTTCAGAAGAAAGCCTGTTTTCATGAGATTTCCTGCCTTCCTTACATCTCTCCATGTCCAAATAGTTCAGATAACCTTCAGCTGAACTCTAGGTTGCTTCACTCAGACTGAATCAAGCAGCTGAGTTTAGGTTTGCCGATTCAGCCATGGGTACAAATTAGGAACTGTATTAATAAAGCAGCTCAACCAAAAGGGATATTGGATACCAAAATTCTGGTCCTGGCTCCTTATGAACTCAAGTGGGCATTCCTGCTCTGGCACACAATGCCCAGTCTTGAGCCAACCCCCAACTTCAAAGTGTCTCGCAGTGTTTATCCATGCCTTGCTTTCATTCACTGCTTGTCACTGACACATTTTTTAAACAATATAATCCCTCGGACAGACGTCATTATTTTCCAATAATGTCTTTATGACTGAAGAAATCAATGTCTGTCTCACCCTTCTTATGACCATTATATTTAACTAAACTCAGAAATGCTATCCAGTTGTTAAAATCTTGGGACAATAAGAACATCCCCCAATCAGATTTAGCTGCTTAAAATTAAAATGTTGGGGTTGGACATCTTTGGGTGTGACATGCCTGTTAATTCCTTTGTCATCTACTTTCATCCATGACATTAATGCATTCTTGGGCATGGCCATATCACTACATTAAATTTTGATTCTCCACATTTTACTGCTTCCTTCCTAGAAATCTTGTTTCTGTTTCTTTCCATTCCTGCCATAATCTTTGGCTTACGATGGGAAAACTTTACAAAAATCATTCAGTCAGTCTCAACTAACACACTAATTTTCTCTCTTTGTTATGCTGCTTTCTTTATTATAATTTATACTCATTTTACCAAAGCGTGGAGGTAGAGTGTAGAGTCTACCACTACCTAACATTAACCCAGTATATATCACAGACGCCAGAACACAGATCCATTGATCAGAGCCTGGAATTGTCCCTTCTCTGGCAGAAACTCCAAAAAAAGCTCACACAATGGTTTATTTTCATATGATTTTCAAGAGCAGGAAACCATCAAGAATCCTCCAGAAAAATACATGGAAACATATGCATAAAACAAATCCACCCATTATAAGAAGATAAAAATATTTATAAAGGAAATTAAAATATTGACAAAGTAGTCAAACAATCTAAATTCAAACACAACAATATTACCAAGTACTAACCTACAACTTTCTGCACAGAATTTCTAATCCCTTTCTTCTTTCCTTTGGAAAAGGCATGTATGAAATTATGAATATACTGAAGTCAGTAGTAGAAGGGACTTTATGGGGACACACCATTACACACACACACACACACACACACACACACACACACACAAAATAAGTTCCTCTATCTGTTCAAGTAGGCATCGTGCAGAAAAGAGAGCAAACTACGATTTTCCTCCCCTCCTTTCTGGTCCTTTCTTTCCTAGACTGGTGGAGAATTTGGCAGGGATATTGGTTTAATAAATCAAAGAAACTCCACCACATAGGTATGGGAGTAAAACTGCATTCTTATTTGACATCTGGAATCCGATTTTCTTGTAGGCACTTGCAATTGAAATTGAACTTTGAGAACCTCCCACCTCAACCACTCCTATCACAATCACAAAGATTCCTGCTCTGATTTGGACATTACTGGGATTTATTGTTAAAGTAGTTTACTTCCAATAAATCACAGGTGGGGAATGATGATGATCCTCCCACCTCGCCCCCAAAATTAAAGGCGGGAGCGGCAAAAAACCCCGAGGGGGGACGGCCATCATTTCGGTGGGATCTGTGCAAACCTTACCACGTATGTGCCACGGTGAAACGCCGCTGTTTGGGGATGTTGCTACTGAGAAGCATCCTGCGCAGGAGCCTGGGGGAATTTCTCGGAGAAATCACTGGAGAGAGCTTGGGAGAAACCGATTTCCTCGCTGTCTTGGACTTCTCATGCTGCAACAGGTTTTCCCGCAAGGATTTCACCAGATCCTCGTTCAGCCATGGGTTTGGACAATGCGGATTATCCACTTCAGGTACTGTTAAGGTGTCTGGGCTTGTCGTCTGCTGAGCCATTTTCCGGGTCAACTTTGTACAGTTGGCAACAATCCAGGGCAACGTGGTTCCCTGGCCTCTTTCCAGTGACTCGCTCGCTCAGAGTCCGGGGAATGTCCAGGGAAGCAGGTCGGATCCGGCTGCTGCTAGTTCATTCGGTCGCCTGCCTCAGTCTCTCCGTGGCGATGGGGCTGGGTGCAGACCAGGCGAGCTCACTCCTCCGCGGAAGCCTATTGAACGTCACCCCTCCTCTGCCGAGCCCCTGCCAAAGATCAGTGACGAGCTCGCAAGGCAGAGGAACATGGAGGGAAGCCACCGCGCTAGCACGGCTTTTGTCAGCGCTACAAAGCAGCCTGCTAAACTATTGGAACTAATGCGCCGCAGCTGCTGGAGTGACTTCTGCTTATGTACATAAAAAGTCCTGGGGGGAGGGCTTAACCATCAGATGCCTGCTGCTCGGCTGTTTGGCTAGTCCTGCCATTTGCTTATTCCTGAATCCAAAGGAAAGAAAAACTTTGAACTTGACCTTCCTCTCCCGCAAAGGCTATTTATCTCCCTACAGTCCACGTTCATAAAAGAAAATTGTTAGTCCTTTGGTTTTTTTTTTATAAGGGAAGAATAAACAAGCACTAGCTAGACAAGGAGAAATATTTCCCTGCTTACTACACTCAGTCTGATGCACCATATGAGACAAATCCCAAGAGAATAAAATGGACTTTTCCCCTCCTTTCTTTCTAGTTAGAAACCAAACAAAAGGTTTCAAAATAATACCCATGGAATTCATTACAGGTTGCTGTTGTAGTGTACAACCTTGTTAATTATGACCCTTTCAAAGCACAAACAACACTATTTAAACACACAAGTGATGTTTATTTGCATTTAAACTAAAGCACCTCCAGAGGATCAGATTGTTTTCATAAGAATAGTTAAAAATAATTCTAAAGTTTCAATTATTATTTATGATATATACAACTTTACGTATTCGACTATAAAGGGGTAAAATAAATCTGACTTTTCATAATTTCCTTTATTGCATTTTTATGTAAGATTTTAATTTGCAATGAATATAGCTTCAACAAACTTATTCAGAAGAGGTTTAAAATAAGAGAGAAAAAATTATTTTGTTACTGGAAAAAGTAAAAATATTACAACAAGACAAGTGAAGCCTGTTAAATCCCATTATGTGGATATTAGAAGGGCAGATATTAGAAAGGCATTAGAAAGGAACCCAAACTTTTGAGTAGGGATATCCCCAGCAACCCAACACAGTTCAAGATTAAAATCAAATCACATTTCTCAGGATCCAAGAATAGTTTATATATATATTTTTTAAAAACACAATAACTTAAGAAGGAGTACAAAATGCATTTAGACAAAACGGAGCGTGGAACAGTCTGAGTCAATGATTTTTCTGGTTTCTATGATTACTGTTAGATCAATTTTTAAAGTTGCTCCTGTCTCCCCCACCAGGTTGTTCCACCTTAAGTTTCCTTTCCTTTCTTTTAAAACGTTACAGAAAAGGATACTGTGAGGCTCTGTTCATAGAAGCACAGGGTCAACCACTTTGTCCATCCTCTTGTTAGTGTTCCTATAACAATTCAACAGGACATGTGTATAATGACTTAACAAGAAAATTTTATGCAAATATTTGAATTTGAAAAATCAGGATGTGATTATTCTTCTTCCTAAAGAATTTTTACATATATAAACTCCATATATATCTATATATGTATACCATATATAGTGTGTGTATATATATATATATATATATCTACTATAAGATATATATAAAATATACATATTTCTTTAAAGTGGGCTGAGGAGCTGACCACTGCCTAAGAAGTTGTGCAAATCAGGTGTGCAATGCTTGTCCTCAAAGAGCTTGTAACTTAATGGAAAAGATTGAACAATTCTCAGGAAAAAAACACCAGAACCCCTAGAGAGTGATACAATCAGGTATAGAAAAATACAGTGAAAATGGTATGTTTATGTGATGAGCAAACTCTGAGGTAAAATAAGGCTTGAAGAGAAGGAGGTTCAAAAATTAATGGAAAGGAAGATAAGAAAGAAGCGTACTCCAAGATGAAGAACTAGAATGTGCAAATGCAACAGAAACAAGTTTTGTGCAAAAAAAAAGAGAAAAAAAGTCCAGCAGTCAATAGACACAAAACATGTTCAGGTTCACAGAAATAAAAAACTCAGATAACAGAATAAAGTGAGAAAAACCAATATGCGGTAAACTAACATAGTAAGATAATTTTTTTTAGAAAAATCTCCCATTTTCAAAAGACCCACTTCCACTCAACAAACATTTGTGGGAGCTTTTTTGAGCATATATACTGAATGCTCCAGAATATTTAAAGATTAGCTTGATGCTGTCCCTGACTTCAGGGAGCTTGTAGTTTAGTAGGATCAAAGTGCATGAAGAAGAGGAGACCAGGCGCCCAGATGAGAATCTGCATGCTAGAGATATTTAAATGTCTGACTCTAAGCAGAGAAAACTGACTCTTAGTGACCAAGTAAAAGAAGAGATACTACTAAGAATGATATGGGCTACATATTGGGAAATCCATTGAGTTCAGGCGATTCTAAGTTTTAGTTCTTGCTTTTAGTGACTTTGTATAAGGCACTTAAGGGAGTAAATGGTTTACACACTGATATTCCCATAAACTGCATGTAGGATGTTCAGAAAGAAGGGAGCATTTTGTTGATGATCACAACTAAGCTAAAATAGAAAATATGACAATAGCCTATTAACAATTCATTAAGCATTGGAGTTAAACATGAACTAAGCCTGAACAAAGGTATTTGCAAATCTCCCACTGCTTTGATGTATGTTAAAGGATTCCATTGTAGAAGCAATATTGACATCTTTGCTGCAGGTGCCCATATCCTATCATTGTTATTAATTCAATTTTCTAACATCTACAATCCCCCACACCCAAATCTTTCAAATGATGTATGACATGCATGCAGCTTTTAAAAAATAAAAATTTTGTTTTTCTAATCATTTGCTACCTCCTAGAAATAAATTGAAAAACCTTACAGTGTTTCAAAATCATACTTGAAAATCACTGTCTTAGGAAGTGCACACTGTAAAGTCCTGAGGATAACCAAAGGTGGGTAAGGTTTGAATAGACTGACAATTTTCTGTATAATAATACAGAGGGCCAGAGGGAGCCCTTCCAACAAGAGCACTTCACAGCTTGCCTTTCTCACAATCTCTTTAAAATTAGCTGCCAGGAACTTGTCTGAAAAAAA